GCGACAAAAAAGGGTTGCGTCATAGGACCTAGCATACCTCTGTGTTTCTACCTGCCAGACAGTTAGAGCAGCGCGACCCCTCAGGGAAAAGAGTGCTTCATCAGTGGAGGGTAGTCGCGCTGCTCTAACTGTCTGGCAGGTAGAAACACAGAGGTATGCTAGGTCCTATGACGCAACCCTTTTTTGTCCCCCCAGAGGATTGAATCAGAGGAGGGGGATATATCCCCCTGGGGGAAGGATTGAATACCGCCCTGGGTGGACGTCATTTGACGTAAAAGTGGCGGCGAAGTAGGCAGCAAGAGCCAGAGTTTCGTAAGTAGGACCAAAATCGAAGAACGAACTCATGGGAATCAACTTTATAATTGAAAGTTCAAGGGTTTACATATGAAGGCATTGACTTGGTTCATTGCATTACTTATCATTTACCACGTTTGGAACGACACGCGTAAAAATTTCTGTTCTCTAATGCAAGGATGATACGTATTACAATCATTTCACTCCCCACCCATTGATTGGCTAGGTTATTGAAATGCCAGCAAACCCGCTACTGTTCGAACGAAGTGCGAGCGGCGGTTGCTCGGCCTTTCGTAGGTTCTGCCGCAACTGTGACGTCACCAGCACGCGCTCGCGTCCGCGCCGCCGGTGAGCTTTTCAGTTTAGTGTTGGGGGACCGTGTGTGAAAGTTATGGCGTTGTCTAGGGTCACTTCGAGGCGAAGGAGTGCCGTTTAAAGGAAATTACTCTTTGAAAGGTTCCTCCGATCCTTTTTCAGCGCTCCGACTCTGAACGACGACAAGTGTTGATGTCACTTTTCGATTACTTCTTCAATCGTTCGCATAGATTTCGCCTTAGAACAGTGGACAAATTGCAGGTTTGTAGGACAATGCATTTCCTATAACCACGACCATTCAGTGGAGGTTAGATCCTTTCAGGAGTTGCTTTTGCTTGTGTGCGAAACGGATCCTCAGCATCATCCTCTTCCTGGACCCAGTACGGAAGCGAGGGAGTTGAAGGTAGGAAAGGAAATGGTCAAGATTTCTGCTATACGTTTTATTTTCAGTCTTATGCCATAAAAACTGTCAAAAAGTGGCATGAGAAGTTCGGTCCTGGCTACGACAAGCTGAACTATGTGGTCGATTTTTTACGAGAATCTAAGGTAGCTTAATAACGCTTTTCCATTATTTCTCTTGAAGCATTTCTCGAATAAATCCTATTGTTTTTCAGGCCGTAGATTTCGATTCAGCTTCTGCAGAACTTTCGGCTGAAAGGTTGAGAAAAGAAGCAGAGGATCGAAAAAGTGCCGAACTATCGCAAAAAGTGAGCCTTGTTAGTCATTGCCGAGATATGAGGTTTCAGATGCCTTCTGTTGTATTGTGATTCATATTTTCAGTATCGTAAGGATAGAATTTAGGTTGCCGCTCACGTCCGCCGTAAACTTGACGAAGTAAAGGATGACATTGAACAATGCATTGCTCTCGCTGACACAGCTCTCTCAATCCTAGTGCCCGTGTTTTGTACTGATTTCGAAGAAAATGCGGTCAAAAACTGTGGCAATACCTCTGATCCAACCAGCATTCAAGAACTTCAAGAAAAACAGGTATGTACAAGATGCTGATAGATTTCGTGCTCCACCCCTATTCTTTCCATCGTTAGTCCGTGATAAGTGGTATAAAATTTTCAACATGTAAAACTTTCGAAACAAACCGAAATGCCTGCGATTCCGTTGCCGTAGACTTTTTATAAGAGGAGGTGCAGTGCGAAGCGCCATTACCTCGTTCATGATTATAATGAAGCCAGCCGTTCTCATTCCATCACCACCAGATCAGTGAGTGACTGGAAGCAGAGCGGATCTCATTCAAAGAAATTCAGCTGCTGATAGAACGATCTCGTCCTTTGTTATTCCACCATACTATTGGTGGAAGATTCCGTTGCCCTAACCTGTTCCTAAGAGGAGGTGCAGTGCCAAGAGGTGCCTACCTCGTTCATGAGTATAGTGAAGCCAGCTCTGCTCATTCCATCACCATCGGATCAGGACGTCCCAAAAGTGACTGAAGTAGGAGTCGAAGAACGGATCGAACTTTACCCTTTCAATCCACTGCACTAGGCAGCGTGTGTTCTCCGTTCGGTGCGAGATTGATTTTTTTGTTTTTAAACGCATGCAATTCCGTAGCTTTCAGAGAGACCCTGACGTCTTGCGGTGATGTCTTAGGTTCAGAGGCCACCTTATCGAAGATACACATACATGAGCAAAATTCCTAATTCGGTTAGCTGTAGATAGCCTCTCTTCGCAGACTTCATAGTTATTTATATAATAATTCTTTAAAAGGCTGCTCACGGGTACACAAGCTCTGACACAATCTCTGTTGTTTTGGAATCACTAACCCCAGAGGTTACGATTAATGAGAACAACGAGGCGCTACTGGAAAGCGTACGAGATGCAAAAGTTATGTTAGAATGTCTACCGAAATAAGATTCTCAGGTACGATCTAAACTTCATACCGTTGAGTAGTCCAATCACTTCACTCTAGCTGGCAGCGCAAAATAGATGGGGCCGTTGGTGTTGAATTGCTTACGCGAGACTTGACATCACTCAAGCGAAAGATCGATCAACGATGTGCAAAAATTGCTGAGTTAAAGTTGAAACCAAAGAAACGAAGCAAAGGCACTGATTCTAGCGAAAGTGAAGAAAGCGACCTTGAGGAGGTCCCCGAGAAGCAATGTATGGATCACTGATTTCGTTGGAACGATGACAATGTTCAATGTCGTTTCTTTTTAGTGGAGGATTTTATGCCACCTGATGAAGTTCCGCGACATATTATGGAACGAGTACAGCAGCTGGAAAAGGCTGAATGTTCTGAACAACCATGCTGCAGTAAATCATTGGAAACGAATCCACCAAGGATAGGAGAGGCACAGCGAGCGGAAAGACGTTGCAAGGCAAGGCTGTCAAACGGAAAACTTTGTCCAAGAATGGGCTTGCGAAAGTAAGTGGATTTGAACAGTATGAGTAACGCCGAGTAACAGACCCTTTCTTCAAGATTTGATGCTGATTCATAGAAATTGGGATGCTCCACTTTAGGTGTCCACTCCACGGCATAATAATTGATAGAGATGGCGAGGGTTTCCTTGGAAGAGGTTGATGCAACCGAGTCATCCGCTGCTCAGGCTGAACGAGAACATCAAGAAGAGCAAGATTATCTGAGGTTTGTGTTGATTCCTTTCTTTTTCTTTTTGTGTCTTCTCAAGAAACCCTTGCCCATTGAGAACTATCGAAAAGTCCATCACGGTTGCGTACTTAGAAGTATACATAGGCTTAATTTGAACAGCAGTCTTACAATGAAAAGACTGCGAATTCTCATTAGAACTATATTTTTTGCCTAAGAGTCGGGGATTTGGAAGAAGGAAGTTATTTCTTCAGAGATCTCGAAGCTGGTACTGGAAAGTCCTTTGGGAGTAAACACAAAAAGAAGAAAGTGCCGGAAAGTACCGTGCGTGAGCGTCTGGAGGTTAGTGTTCAGCACTATGTGCATCATCGTTACATCAACTGAGAGAACAGCAAATGTGGTGTTTTCAGAAGAAGCTTTTGAACCCAAGAACCGTGAAACGTATTTCCGCTGCTGATATCGCTGCATGTAAAGCCAGACTCCAGTGGAATTTCGGGGAGCAGTTCGCTCATTTACCTTACAAGTGAATGTAGTTGTAAATAAAGTTGAATATTAACTTTTATTTGAATTGATCAGTGTTGATATTGTGGAGGTATTATACTTTGATGATGAAAATGTGATGTTGTCGAGCTTTCGAAATAATAGTGTCAACAGAGTCTGTTGCAATGCGGGTCACTAAGAAAAGTAAGCATGTTTTGGTTTGCTAGTAAGGTTCTTGTACCAGGCTTATGACTAATAGTCCAGGCCTCAGTTGTGTCGACAACACATACTGCAGTGCAAACGCGGTTCTGCGCAAAATTTAGGTTCATCACCACCACATCATACTTTGCTATTTTGCTGTATGCTGCCTAAGCGTGTATCTTTATGTATCTGTAGTCGACCAGTACGAGCTAGATTATAGAATTCTCCGTAGCAGATAACTCATTCGCCCAGTATCCGCAACATCAATCCGCAAAATACCCTCGACAACAGGAAGTCGAACTGGTAGCGGCTGTCTGCAGCTGATTAATATAGAATACCGAGGACCGTTACATCTCCATAGGTGTTGGAAATGCAGTAAGTTTCAAGAATTTTCTAACGGGTATGAACTGGCGAATCATGTTCTGCGATGCTGAAGAAGTCACGAGGACCAAAGACTTACCGCTTACCTTGATTCTAGCTGCTATTACGATGCGTTCATACTAATTCGTATGGAGTAAAAAAGCGCCACACGTGGAGCGATCACATGAATGTGTCCTGCTTTGGAGTGAACCGTGACACAAATGTTGATTAGCGTACTGTAGTGGGCAAAATAACACACTTATTCAAGTCGAATTCGTACGCACAACCTGTTTCCCGTGGCGACTCGTGTCGCAAATGCAGATTCGGCAAGACGCCTACTGACGAATTGTACATGCTCTTCATGTAATTAACATAACATAACATAAGACGCGACGACGTCCTCAAAATTCGATACTGTGTATGCTTCATGACTCTCTTGGGAACGCGAGACAAGAGTTCCCCTGAAGGTCGCCGCCGCAATCGGAATATGGTCCACCGCAATGCGGCGCTTACCGTCCTTAAAGTTGGAACAAGGGAATTGCTAGACAAAGCACAAACAAATCCAGAAATGGCACAAAACAGAGGAACGAAAAAATCTGTATCAATCTTCTAGAGGACGGGTCAGTACTGGCAATTTGCCATGTTCAATAACCAGCAAAAAACGCGCCGACACCGCGCCGATGACTGGTTTTTAGCGCGGCGATAGAGGGGAACACCTGGAGGTAAGCAAACCAGCCCTTTTGGCGTTTCGGCTGGGACCGTATGCTGAATGTTGGGGAGGGGATGGGGTCCCCAACGGTCGACGGTTTACTTCAACTCGGTTGGTACGATAGGAGAGTACTGACGCAAGTGGTGCAGCTGGTCCAGCAGCTCCGCCAGAAGGGCTGGTTTGCTCACCCCAGGACTAAGCCTTGGAGAGGGGACGGACCCGTCCTCTCTTTAAGGCTTAGTTCTGAGGTAAGCACCAAATTGTGGCGGTTCTAAGGACCGAGTTGAAGTGGTCCGTCCACCGTCGGGGACTCCATCCCCTCCCCAACATTCAGCATACGGTCCCAGCCGAAGCGCCAAAAGGGCTGGTTTGCTTACGTCGCTCCTGACCGTCTCCCTTCTCTCGTGATATCTGGTGTCAAGTGATTTGTTGGGTTGGTTATACCAATACCTCCTCCTTTGAGAAACAGCATGTATCACCTGTTACCTGTATCACCTGTCGTCCCGTTTGTCGCCGATTTGCTCGAGCGGGCGCCAGCAACGTCTCCATCCGTCCCTGTCGCGTGCTAGTACTTCAACGAGAACAGCAACAGCAGTATCTGGGACAACCAAGCAATTCGCGATTTCTTGCTAACCACAATGTTGTTGCGAAAAAAAGAAATGAACAGGTGAAAATCTGTAATGACTCAGAACATGTTGCCACTAGGTACGCAGTAGCCGCGACCGATGGGAGGCGCCGTGTTGGACCATACTGAATTCCGAGTCCGCTGATCCGTAGCTTACTTACTTACTTACTTACTTATCCCTTAGCTTGCGTCTGGTGGTGGGGGCCGGCCTCTCAACCAGTACACTGCTGTGGGTGCCATTGGAGTACGAACGCCCTGAATGAAGTGTCTCCATTCGTTGTGCTGATACCTTACTTGCATCTGGTAATTTTTGGTTTTTCGATTTGTGTTTTTTTTTTTGGCGTAATTTCTGAACGGGACTCTATTGTCCGACGGGGAACATCTGTTGATGCAATCTGCTCACGAAAGACAACATGGCAAATATATGATACCTACCAAATAACACACAGAAGGCCGCCGTTCATACTTGATAATCGCTTGCGAAGACGCGATTGGCTAGCACATCGCGCAAGGAAGGGACGCACGCGCCGCGACGCGTCAGGAATCAATCAATGACTCATCCATAGACTTGAATCTTATCTGTCGCACGTATCAAATCCTTCCACGCTGGTCGCCCCATCGCATCTTCGCCTCGCGCGATCGCTGAAATCCAGACGCTATCTCGCATGTGACGCTTTAAGGCGGAGTCGAGCCAATCGATATGCACTCACTTCATTTGATAGAATCGCTTGGTCGCATCATCGCATATAAGCCGATTCTCAAAGTATGAACGGGGCCGAACGGATCATTCGGGAACCATAATATCTTCTGATCCTTTTAGCAAATGTGTGGTTAACAAAACAAGGCGCGGCGCTCATGTCCTTGGGGGGGGGGGGGGACAGACCCGGAGAGGGGGCCAATTACTCGTACTTGGACTGAGCCTCAGGCAGATGAAGGGATTTTACGGAAGATGCAAGTAATATGTGTGCTCCCTGGCGTTTCTCCCCTCTCCTGGGCTTAGTCCCAGTGTCACCTGCCATCCGCCTTGTTGTTGATGTCTCCCCCCCCCGCAAGGCATGAGCGCCCAACGCGCTCAATCGCAGATCGGGGGGCATTACGCACGGCAACAAATTTAATACCCTGACGACTCACGCACGTTCTGGCTTTCTTGGCAGATGGACAATGCAGCTTTGCGGCGCGATCTCTGAGACGCGAAGCAGCGTAGACGCGGAACCGCGTCTCATTGTCCAACAGAGTGCGTTTTTCGGAGCTCAACACTGAAAGTATCAAAATAGGAGTGCAATGGGAGCTGGGAGGGAGGACGACAGCCCAGTTGCGCACTCTAAGCGAGATAGCAATCATTAGCTTCTAAGGGCATAAACCAAGGAGGATATAGTCATTCAGCGGAGTGATGTAGGAAAAACCACTAGAAATGTGAAAAATGTATGTCGCGGCATTGACTATAACTCATCCAGAAGGCCGCACTCAAGACGCACTGTCGCCGAGCTCAGCTCCACTCAAACGCTCGACGCCCGAAACATATTCAATTTCGTGGGTGTGTGCAAGAATATTCTAATCATTGCATGGATCACCTTGGCGTTATACTATTAATAGATAGTGTATGATCTACAGGTATAGTAGAAACAACGTGGGAAATAGAGCCGCGCAATGCGCCAAAGAGGGAATGACGAAAAATAGAGAGAAATAGACGCCCACGCGTCTCAATTCAAATGCATTCCCTTGAAAAAGTTATGCAACGTGAGACGCGCAACCGCGCTCGCTGTGTCATTGTGTTTCCGACCAACGTTGTTCTTTTTTTGTACAAAACTAGACTAAGCTGAAGGAGGGAAGAGACTCGGCAACCTAAGCTCCGAATTTCTGACCACCCCCCTAGGGCCAGATCCGAGGGTCCCGTTCATAGAAAGTGTGAGTATCAGGTTAGATCCGGCTGC